TCATTGATAATAATGAACTACTTGGTGTTGATGATAGAACATTCTAAAAAAGAAAGTAAAGAAAAAGAATTTAAGAAAAAAAAAAAAAGAAAAATTTTCATTTATATATTACTGTTCGACGTCGTTGAGATCGACGATGAATTGTTGAAGTTTTAGTTATTGATGGTTTGATTTTAATTTTAATCTTACGATTTGATGATATTGATGGAAGTGAATGAGTTTTTCTATTTTTAGTGCCAGTCATATTTTTTTTTGTTTTACTTCACCAAAAAATTATTCATATAAATATAGAAAATAGAGATAATCTTTTTTGAAAGCAATCTTTTGCTTTGATCACAGATTTTAAAATGTAAATATACCAGAAAAAAAAAATCATCAAATTTAATAATTCATTGATATTCTAATAACATTGATAAAAATTGTATTTGTTGTTTTTTTAAATATTTAATTAAAACAAAATAAAAATCTAAAACAGAAAAAAAAAAAGAAAACTAATCTCATATTCAAATCAAATGAAATAAAGTTCGAATTAATTCAAAATTGATAACAGAATTTCATTTTTTGTCAATATATGCCTTTACAATAGGATATTCTTAAAAGTTTTCATTCTTTTTTTTTTAATCTTAATGTAATCTCTATAATCCTACAAATGCACATTTTCAAATCCTATTGATATCAAGAAAAGTGATACTTGAAGTAGGCTAGAATTTGTTTTACTAAATTTCATCAAACACATTTTTTTAATCAACATTGAATTTATTCTACAAGGTCTTTATGAATACTTTCATTTATTACAGAAAGAAGAGAGTAAGAAGGATTCAAGCGTCTTCCCACTCATCTTCTTTCTACAAAACATAAATATAGATGTAAAGAGGATTCAGTTTTTCGGATCCCCTCCGGTTATGGCCTCGATAAATCAAATCTAACCAAGGTCTTGGTGATTTTAGTCTTTCGAATCTCGATCTAGAAAAAACTATTCGAGAATTTATTCGTATCACGTCTAAAAATTTCTTCAATATTCATTTTTTGATTTATTTAGTCGACGGCTAGTACTTTTTTTGGGGCATCGCTCTTGAATTATGTTCAGATTGATATAATTTATAAGATTATGAGCTAAAAACTATAAAATATTTAACTATAATCTTTAGTTCTGATTGGGAAAACTTTTTTCTTCCGATCCCGATCTCGCACATCTCTAACCATAACGCATTATAGTTAGTGTCTTTCGTTCATCAAAAATTTCAAAAATTAATTATTAAAATTCTCTTATTTCTTTTGAAAGCAGCTTCGTTTTGTTTTTTTTTTCAATTTTGCGGACAACTTTTCCATCTATATATATAGAAAAAGATAAACTAGATGACCATGATTTTTATTCTTTTATCGCTGACATAATAACTGGCAATAACAAGAAAAAAAATAAAATTTATTTCTTAGAAATCATAATCGAGATAATCATTATCAAAATGATGTATTCGTACGAAACCATCTTCACCACCACTTGAATAACTAAAAATGAAATATTAATTATTAAAAAAAAAAGTAAGAGAAATTCTTTTTTTTTCATAACAATTAACAAACCTTTTGCCATCAGGATGAAAAGCAACAGTATTTATAGGTCCAAAATGACCTTTAACTCGTGCAAATTCTTCTTCAAATATTAAATGAAAAAATCGAGCTTCAAATTTTCCTGATTGAGCTGCAGTTTGTGTGACCTAAAAGAAAAAAAAAACGAAACAATAAGAATATTCTTAAGAATTGAAAATATTTGAAATTTACCTCAATAGCTTCTTGACCACCACCAAGTACAACATGATCTTTAATTGGTGATATAGCAGCTGAATTAACAGGACGATCTGTTGTATATGTTTTCAAATGTTCCAATGTTTCAACATCAAAAAGCTGTAAAACAAAATTATTTCTTCCATATTTCTCTTTCTTTTTTCAAATTCTTTACTTTAGCTGTGCAATCTTTTGATGATGAAATTAAAAATGTTAAATCTCGATTTGTTTGTAAATCCATTATTTGAAATTGATGAGGTTTTTCTTTGCGTACATCTTCTTGATTCTAAATTATAATTCAAATGAAAACAAAATAAAAAAAAAACAAAAATCCTAAAAAGAAAATTACTTTAACATCCCATTGAACTAATTCACCATTATCATGACCAGTTATTATAAATTGATCTAATGTACCCCATAATGCACTTGTTATTTTACGATGTCCTAAGTGTGAAACATTTATACGAACGGATGGACCTTCAGCAGCTAAACACAAAAAAATAAAATAAAAGAGATTTATGAAAATTTTCTTCATCAATGAACATACGTCTCATTCTAATATCAGTCAAATACATTTCACAAGGTTTACCCATAACATCATCATTTGTATATAAAATATTATTTCCATCATAACTAAATGCACAACATCGTGCTGGTGCTTCAAGTGTATATGTATTTTTTTCACGTCCAGTTTGTACATCCCAAATACGAACAGTACTATCAGCTGATGCTGATACAAATGATGTTGTATCCCAATTAACATCTATTGTCCATACTGTTCCATTATGTCCATTATATGTACCCAAACGTTCACCATTTATTGAAAACCATACGCATGGATTTTTATCTTTACCACATGTAAATAATAAATCACCTTCACGATTATAACGAATTTTTGTTAATGAACGTTCATGAGCTTGTAAAAGAATGGGTCTCTATAAATAATCAAATTTCAAGAAACATAGAAAAAAAAGTTTTTTTTTTTTTCATGTATCCTACCATTTTGATTGATTGAGTTCGAAAGAATGATGTTAATCTAAAAATATATAGAAAACTCTTTTAAAAATCATTAAAAAATTGAATATATTATATGAAACAAAACTCTAGATAGAGGTTTTTTCTTCTTTTAGGATTTAAGATTCATGTGAATAGTAGAGTTTTATTTTTGTTGAAATGGCTCATTCAAATCGAAAATAACAAAAAATAATATTCATTTTGTTTAGTTTAGGCCACGGTGAGTATTTACATAGTTGTTCAAGCCGTTCTTGAAGCATGTCGACGATTATGGAAGCACCCAGAGGTTCGAGTTTGGACATTTCCGAACATCATTAACTTCTTTTGGGGAAAGTCTACTGCTTTTAAGTTTTTGGGTCGCTTACATCATTATCTGTGGAACTATTATAACTAACTGTGAAAGTCTTTCTCCGGGTTTACTACTACTCTCTAGATGTATTAATTAACTGAAAATATTTGTATTCAAGATCGAACTTGAATGTTCGGATTTGGTGCATGCGTCCAGTTTAGTTAAACTCTTTGAAGTAAGAACATTTTAATCGATGAATCTCTTCGTTGGTTGTAATTAGACGCAACAAGTCAAATTCTCAAAACTATTTAAATAATTAGTAAAATAGTTTTCGAAAAAACAAAAAAAAAGGAACAAAATTTTAATCATTATTATTATATGAATATTTCTTTAAAACTATTTATCATTAGAAGGAGAAGTCACGAACAATTAGTTTCTACTCAAGATATCGAAAATTATTAGATTGACATTTAGTCATATATATTCATAAAAGTGTTTTTAATGTAAGATAAATCACGAAAGATATTCTCGGACAATGACACTAGCTTAAATATTCTCTACTAGAAGAAGAAAACTTGATTAAATCTATTGAGGACGATGTTCAATCGTAAATTTCATTGTTTTCTGGATATGAAACAAGTGTTAGAAAATGTTTTTAGGTCAAAATTGGGAGTTTTTCATTTCAAATATATATTTTAAAAATAGTAAAACAAAGAATAGATCTATGAACTAGTTTTTATTTAATATAAAGAGAAAATAAAATGTTATGAATAAAGTTAATAAAATGAAGTTCAAAAAAAAATAGAATACAAATGAAATAAATTTTTTAAAAAGGGAATGTATGATTTCAAATAGTGAGCAAAATTTATAGATCACGCATAATATAAAATAATGCACAATAAAAATAACTAAATATTTCTCTATGAGATTTTAGCCCTTTTTATGCAATAACTTATCTAAGTAATTACGTAATATATTAGTCATGGTAAGCAACATTTTGTCTATTTTTCGAATGAAATGTATGCATCTAAAAAAATTTTTTTTTAAATGGAAAGAAAAGTTTTGAAATTATTTAAAACTAAAACTAAAAAAAAAGAAAGTCGAAAGTGATAAATTATTTATTATTTGATGTCCATTTTCTATATTTATTAATAAAATTAATTAAACCATTAGTTGATGAATCATGAGCTGTAACCGATTGATTAGCATCTAATTCTGGTAGAATAACTTTAGCTAATTGTTTACCAAGTTCAACACCAAATTGATCATATGAATTAATATTCCATATTTGTCCTTGTACAAATATTTTATGTTCATATGCAGCAATTAACATTCCCAATGTAAATGGTGTTATACGTGGCAAAATAAATGAATTTGTTGGTCGATTACCACGAAATGCTTTATGATAAATAAGAAGTTGATCAGTTGAATTATTATTATTTAATCGTACTTCATCTTCAGTTAAACCACGCATTAAAGCTTCAGTTTGTGCAAGAAAATTAGCTAATAATATTTTATGATGAAGATTATCACGTATAGGATTTTGTGTTTCAATTGTTGCTATAAAATCACATGGAATTAATTTTGTACCTTGATGAATTAATTGATAAAATGCATGTTGACCATTTGTACCAGGCTAGAATTAAAAAATATTTTTGTAGAATTCTTTGAAGACTATATTAGTCTATTGAAATTCTACTTATAGGCAAAATATGTGTGAACTCAAAATTTTGAAATTACTTGTAGGATCTTCTATAGACACATCTCTAACTTCATCATGCTTTCTCTATTATAGAATGTATCAAATATAAAATTAAATACTACTTTCAAAGAAGTATATTCAGTTCCACCGGGATTCGCAATCATCTTACTCATATCTAAAGTTTAAGATATTCATTTTGCTTACTTCTCCCCAAATAATTGGTCCAGTTGTATAATCAACTTGTTTACCTTCTTTTGTTCGATATTTTCCATTACTTTCCATATCACCTTGTTGAAAATAAGCTGAAAAACGATGCATATATTGATCATAAGGTAAAATAGCATGTGTTTCAGCTGTAAAAAAGTTATTATACCATATACCGAGTATAGCCATAATAACTGGTAAATTTTTTTCTAATGGCATTTCTTGAAAATGTTTATCCATAGCATGAGCACCGGCTAATAATTGTTGAAAATTATCAAAACCAATAGCACATACAATAGAAAGACCAATAGCTGACCATAATGAATAACGACCACCAACCCAATCCCAAAATTCAAACATATTTTCTTTAGCTATACCAAATTCCGTTACTTTTTGTGTATTTGTTGATAAAGCAACAAAATGTTTTGCAACATATTTTAAATCTTTAGCTTGATTAAGAAACCACTCTTTAGCTGATTCAGCATTTGTTATAGTTTCTTGTGTTGTAAAAGTTTTTGATGCTATTATAAATAATGTTGTTTCAGGTGATAATTTTGATACAGTTTCACATAAATGTGTACCATCAATATTTGAAATAAAATGAACATGTGGACCATTTTTTGCATATGGCTAAAAGATAAAACAAGAAGATTAATGCTTATTAACTTTTTCTTTATTATTTTATAATGATAGTAGTATTACTAGTGTTAAACAAAAAGAAGACAAGTATAGGAAGATATAAATATGCTTGAAAAAGTTTGCCGTGTAATGAAGAGAAAGATTTTTATTATTACAGTAGTGTTGGACAATATAGAAATTATTTGAAGTATTATTTTGATTTTTATAGACTTACGAGAGAATTGTTCCAACTAATAAATTGTTTTCGAGTTCGAACCGTATGCATAAGATAGATCCTCGTAAGCTATGAAAAATGTCAAAAAAGAGATGCTCTTTTTTGCGTACCCTCTAGAATTATTGCTATTGTACTAGAATTTTAGCCTATGTCACGGCATATACCAGAGATATCCATAGCGGTGCAGCGGTGGCAGACTTTCTCGAGGACGATGCAAAAATGCACGAATTTGGAAAAAATTTCAGTATCCGCAGATGTGACACTCTTAGACTCTACGAATTGCAACGGTTAGTGACAATAGTTCTAGTTCAAAGCGGTCTCAGCGATGAAATTCAAAGTATTTTTTTAACAACCAACGTGGCAGCAACAATTTTTCAGCCGCGATGGACATCTCTGGTATATGCCAATAAATCGAATAATGATATTTCGCTCAGAGATAGACCTATTTGAAAATTTCAGCTGAAAATAATGTTGCCTTCACGAGATTTTTTAACTTTCATATGTCACGAAACGTGCTAAAATCTATCCTTTTTTGAAACTTCGATAGCTTGGGAAAGTAACATCCTATTTTCGACTAGGTCTATCTGTGTAGAGAGAAGGCATAAGAGGATTTCTTGCTTTGGCGTTTTTATACTTCACTGGATTCTATTTTACAGATAGAGTCTGAACTCAAAAACGATTTATTACTTGAAATGATGACCTCGTTAGGTTCAATGGTACACAAATGCGGCTTGAAACGAAAGCTCTTATTTCATCATGTTAAATAGAAGTACCTTAATGAATAATTCGTAAAAGTTATTATAATCTAATATCGAAGAATATTGATTATCACCTAATTTAAAAAAACATTAACGAAAAAATATTCATACGTTCTCATCCAAAATTGATCTAAATAGTCATTCTTCAGAACACGGTAAAAGATAGTAATATGATTTTTAAAATTTCTTTCTACCAATGCTGCATAATCATCACATGTAAATATTTCATTTATATGTCTTTTTCTTTGATTATTATTATGTTTAAATTCATTAGAATATCTTTACAATTTAATCCTTTCTTATCTTTAGCTAAATTCTAACGGTTCGGAAGAACAATTCACTCAATAACATCAATCTTATGACTACTAATATACACACACACACTATTAACTTACTTTCAATGCTTCTGTAACCATTAATGGACCAAGGTCTGATCCACCAATACCAATATTAACAACATCTGTTATTGTTTTTCCAGTATAACCTTTCCATTGGCCATTTCGAATCGATTCAGAAAAATGTTTCATTTGTTCTAAAACTCGATGAATATCAAGTAAAACATTTTTCCCATCAACTAAAACTTCTTTTCCATCTTTTGGTGTACGTAAAGCAGTATGTAAAACAGCACGTTTTTCTGTAAAATTAATTAATTCACCTTGAAACATTTTTGTACGTTGTTCTTCAATTTGGCATTCTCGACATAAAGAAAATAATTCTCGTAAAATATCTTTATTAATTAAATTTTTTGAATAATCAAATAAAAATGGACCATCAGGTGTATTAATTTCTAATGAATAATGTTCAAAACGTTTAAAATCGTCAAAAAATAATTGTCGAAGATTAAGATTATTTCCAATTGTATCATAAATTTGTTTTAAATTTTTCCATGAAATTTTATCTCTTAAATTTGACATTATCTAGAATTATAATTAATTCTTATTTATAACCATTCTCTTTCTTTTCTGTGTGTATATATCTTATTTAATCTTTCGTTCAAAACTAAGGTCGAAAAAAAAAAATCTGACCAAAAAAATAAAATAAAGACTTGTTACTTTAATATCTAAATACATATTTAACTATATATATATATATGATTTATCTGACTAGATCTGTTTTTACTACTATACATGCTGTTTCAATGAGAAGATTTAGTTTATCAATATTATAATTATGATCATAATTATTAATTGTTTTATGTAACCAACAACAATGTTCATCTGTAAGATGATTTTCAGTTGAATTTAATATTATATGTACAAGTGATAGAATAAATTGAAATAATGATGATGATTGAGATTGTATATGTGTCACTAATTGTTTTGATGGTGGAATCCATTGAATAATATTTGTTGTTGTTGTTGTTGGATAAGTCGATTGTGAAAATGATGAACGAAAACGTTTTATTGTACGTGGTTCATCATTTTCATCACTTGGTCGTTTATCATTAATTGATGTTAAAATTGAACTATTATTTATTTCAATTGTATTTATTGTTTGAATTTGTTCAGGTAATGTTGATAATAAATGACTAAGATTAATATTCTCTAAAGCCTCATTCGATGTTGATGAAATTAATGCTACATAAAAAAGAAAAAAATTAAAAACAATTAGTATATAGCTATTAAAGAATTGAAATCTGTATCGAATTAGAAAACTAAAGTAAACGTTAACTACACAGTAGTTTATAGAAACTAATTGAACACAATAGTCCAAGTGAAAACTTGATTTTCATTTCAGATTGATGCGTTCTTCTGTTTATCATATATATATATATATTGTAAATTGACCATACATCTACCATTATAATCCTTTACTCCTCCTGTATTTATACTAGGGATATGCGGGATCAGACTGTGATGTGTTCGAATAAGTTCTGGAATAGGTTTTGTTTAGATCAAAGTCGAGACTAGAATTAGATTTGCTGAGTTCATAACTGGAATTATTAGAAATTATAGAAGATCAAAAAAACTTAATCCCACACAGTTCTGATCTATACTATCTAACTTGAAATTTTATCTCAATTTGTATATACACTAATATATGTATGTTTCGGAATAAATTTTGATGTTATATTTTCTTTCTTTCTTGTGTTATGACATATAGAATTCACCTGTTGATAATATTCATAATTCTCTGAGAAGAATTGAAACAATATACATTATAAGATTTTTACATGATATTGGAGACAAACATATTCGATTTATTTAGGGAACATCTGCATGATGTATTATTCATAGATATATTTAAAAAAAAACTTTCATTTCGATAATATACTAGTCAAATCTTCTACTTTAGTGATCGATGATTTTGATATAATAAATGATCAGATAAATAAACTTGATATTTTTACAAGTAAAGTGCAGGATGAAAAGTGTGGGTCTCAGCACAGCAAAATCTACTTCCTATAAATACTTTCATCAGTTACTTTTATGTATATGGTATTATCTGTTTTCATATAGCATGAATATTACTCTCACAATGCGTGTGATATCTTTGTTTTTTTAATAGTTTTGTTATATGTTATAACTCCTACTCATAGTATTACAATAGTATGTGATATGAACATGTACTAAAATCGAACTTTTACTTCATTGGACTATAGTTTCGGTGGTCACATTCTGGATAAACACAGTATGAATATGAGATTTTTTTGTGATTCAATTTAATGAACATAAAAAATAATAGAATCAAAGTAATTAAAAGAGAATGTAATGTTGTATTAAGTTCTTCCTTCTTTGTTGAAGAAAATTTTTATATAAATTCGAATGATTTCTATTTATCATTAAATTTCTATATAATTTTTCTAAGATTAACTTTGAAATTTCTTTTGAATTTTAAATTATATCTAATCTTTTAACTTAAGATTATCTATTAAAATAACTAATAGAAATAACTTACAATCATTATTTTTAATTTTAAGAATTTGTGTTGAATTAATTTGTTCTTTAACTTGAATAATAACATTTAATAAATGATTAAGTTGATCAACAATTTCATTTGTATTTATAATTTTCTTTTGATTTTTATTTGGTGATATTATTTGAAGTTTTTTTTCATAAAAATTTTCTTTTTTATTTATTATTAATTGTATATTTGCTTGTTGAAATGCTTGTTGACATTTATCTTTAAATGTTTTATTTTCATCATCATCATCACGTTTTTCAGTAATTAATAATGGCCATATTTGTTCAAAATAATATTTTATATTTTTAACTGTACAATTTAAACCTTTTAATACATGTGTACGTTGTTCATCTAATAATTTTTTTTTCCATAATTCACTCATTAAATTTGTTGAACGATTATTACGTACACGACGTTCAAATAAATAACGAAATGGTAATGTACGTGTAAATGGATATCCAAATGGATAGATTTTATATTGTTCAAGTGAAGATAAAACTATTGGTGATAGTATAGGTAAACGAGAACAAAATATAAGAACAATTGGTAAATGATCTAAATATTAAAAATTTTTTGTTTGTTTTTTTTTAATTGAAGAAATAGAATGATTACCTTTTTGTATAAGATATTTTTCAATCCAAGAAAGAAATATTTGTGGTGTTAAATGACCTAAATCATTATATGAATTTTGTTCATTATTTATTGTATTATCTCGAAGTGTATTAGGAAAAATAAAATATGGTTCAGTTGATTGACCATCATTAGAAAATGCATATATTACAGTTACTTTTGGTGTTAAATTCATTGGACGTAATTCATTCCATTCAGGTAATTGAAGTATAGTCGAATTTTTTGTTAATGGAAATTCAAATGTATCAATAGTCCATAATTGAGCCTAAATAAAAATAATTTTATCGAAGTTTAATAATAATTTACAAGTTCGATATAAGTTTCACGTTTGTTTATAGAATATATCTCAAAAGATTATTTAGTCTTATGAAGAATATCAGTTTCGTTGATATTCATATGTTAAGATTCAATAAAATAAATTAAAATCTAAACAGTGTTTTTTTTTGGAATATATTTCAACACCGATTCATAATTGTTCATATGAGATACACATGATGATCGGAATTTTTACGACATAATAAAGAAGTTATCCATAATGTTCAAGTAAAAATCGAATTTTTGATGCTCTTCCCTTGTACGCTCAGTTTTAAAAATATTTTTAGGAAGAGCTAATTTACTCAAGTGTACTGTTTTTGTTTTTCTATATTAAGCGATTAAAATATGTGATTTATCTGTAGATGTGATGTGTCGTAGAATTTTGAGAAATTGCTGATCAAAACTAATTTAACTTGAAAATTTCGTCAAAAATACTTAAAAAACGATAAAAAAAAAAAGAAGTCTCCGCGAATGTCTAGATACGTCTGACTTAAGAGAGACAAGCGAAAATTCCGTACTTCAGCGTACTCCAAGGAGATGTCGAAGCTATCCTGTAGAACTTTTTAGCTATTTCAAATCTACCATCAACGTGTGCCATGACTACATTAGTTAGAGTTCATATTATATAAGTCCATCTAACAATAAAACTCAAATACTTCACTGATACTCAAATGTTGAAGTACGAAGTTTTAACTTTTTCTCGCTTTGTCTGACCTCTACCCGGGTTTTTGCGTCTCCTTCTTTTTATGAATGTTCTTTTATAAATGGTTCCTAACAGTTATTAGATCTGTTTATCGATGCATCTCAAATTAAGATTTTCATTATTCATTTGTCCTTTTTAAATCATTTACTTCCATAACGTGAAATATTCATTAATGAAAACGATTCATATTTTCGTATTTATTTTTTTTTTACTTTTTCATGATTAATTTCATTATCAATTAAATATTGTTGAAAATCTTCATGCCATTGTTTATCATCAATAATTGATTCATTATCTAATTGAATTAGATGAATATCTTCAAAAGCTGTCCAAAAAATTACAGGTGATTGTTGATCACAACTTCTTATTGAACCCATATTATTATTTCCGCATATATTCATTGAACGTTTACGTGTTACTATACCAGTTAATTGATAAATTTCTCTTAAAAATAATTGTTTAGCACACGACCAAAAATATAATGAACGTAAATGACGTAACCAATCAATAGTTGATTTTGATTGCATAAATTTATTTAATTGTATAAGACATGAACCAGTCATAAGTGATGAATTCATTTTATATGATAAACAATATTTTAAATAATCTAATTTAATTCCACCTAAATATTTACTTGCACGTGATATTGATATTTGTCGATTAAGAATATATTCAAGAATTTGTTCTGGTGTAGAATCAATTGGTGGATCTATCAAAATTGGTGATAATTTTGTTTTACTACCTTAAAATATAAAGATAATTATTATGTAATACAATCATTTCATTCAATGCATAAAAGATTAAATTCATTTATAAACAGAATTTATTTTTGATCTAATTGATACTAAAGATGTACCAGACTAAAGCTTGAAGGTTTGCTGGGACGAGAAGAGTATTAGTAAAATACATTATGAACACTGTTTTACTTGGGACTTATAGCAATCGATAGAGCTTAAAACTCTAAGTGTATGAGGCTTCATTCTAAGCCAAAAACTCAAATAAATAAATGTTTGGAAAAATGACGTTAGATGAAGTTGTGATACAATATCTGATGACTCTAGTCAGTTCAAAATATGTAGCAGAGCTACATTTGACTTCATTTTCCAAACATTTATTTTATTGAAATTTTGGCTCAGAGTGGGACTAGTAGATTTAGAATTGATCAGAATGCATTTTACTAATACTCGGACTAGGACCACAGGAAAAAGAAGTCTCTGAGATTGGATCTCGGACTACAAGAAAAAAAGTTGTGCCGATTGAAACTAAAGATTATAGTTAAATATTCTATCGTTTTAAGCAAGCTATCTTATAAATCATATCAAGTAGAACATATGTCAATAGAGATTACCTAAAAATGTGCTAGTTGCCGACTAAATGAAACAAAAAACGAGTATTATAGAACTTTGTTAGATATAATACAAATAAATACTGGAAGAGTTTTTTCTAGATCAGAATAAAAAATACCCTATTGGAATGCTGAATTGTGTAGCACAGAAGATTCAAACAACAGAATATGGATAAATTCGAACTATAAAATTTATTAAGAAGAAATTTTACTAGAATGCAGAAGAGCGTAACAAACTCAAAACCTTGGGATTTGATAAGAGAAGGTGACATCAACAACGATCTACTTTACTAGTATAGATAGGCTGTGTTTCAATATAACGATCATATCCAGCAATATGTTGATTTACCTATTTTAACGAGAGTTTTTTTCTTTTTTTTCTTTGGTAATAAATTTTGTGTTGGTGGTTGTAATGATTGTAAATATTGTTGATCATTATTTTTCCATAAAATTGTTTGATTAAATATTTTAAATATTTGATCATTTTGTTTAAGTGTACGAAGTGTGAACCACATTGTATGAATTATACGTTGTATATATCCTGCTGATTTAAGATTCATTTTATCGATACGATTTGCTTGAGACCATTGTCTATCAAATAATGAAAATAATGGTGATAATATATTTGTCATATAAGAATCTAAATCAGTTGTTATTATATTAATATCAAATTTTTGACAAGTTATTTCAAAATCTGGTGTTAAAAGTGTTGTACGTGGATCAATGAGAAGAGCACTAAAAATAATAATCAAATCGTATATACAGTGGCTGCCAAAATTGTGCAACCGGGTGTAATTTGGATTTTTTTTCGTAGCCGTAAGTGCTAGAAAGAATCCCGATAGTGATTTG